GCTGTCAAGCATCTCAAAAGATGAATTTAGACAATGTTTTGAAAAATGGAATAAAAGACTAGACAAGTGTATTAGTGTAAATGGAGAGTACTTTGAAGGGGATTGAAGGTTTGTGCTTAAAATTTGAATAAATAAGTTTAAAAAAAATAAGTTCGGTTTCTTTTGGGTACCCCCTCGTAGATACATAATGACAGTGTGATGAAATGTGTGTTTCAATAAAGTGATCGTTCCATAATTTTACACTTAATGTACAATTTCATTTAAATTAAGTATTTTAAATATTACACATGTAAGAAATATAGTTTTAATCCACTTTCAAAGGTTACGATTTTTTGGATACTCTTTTTACATTTGTGTAGCTCTTTATATTTTGTGCATGTTTTAACATGTTATAAAAATTGTATTTTACATGTTTGTTTAAATAATGCAATTATATTTGTATAATGTAGGATTCTAGTTGTTAATATGTTGGTGAATTTGTAGTACAGTGATATAGTTGGTGTTGGTTTTGATGCATATTCTGGCATGGTATCAAATCTGTTTGGTTCCCTTGATGTGTCTTGAAGTTGATACAAGCTGTCCTGTAGACAAACAATGTATCTAAGATATTTAAACTTCTGGAAATTATTATTAAGATATTTATAATATTTCCAATATTTATGATATATTTCATTTAAATAAATCATTTTTAAATATGACATGTAAAATAATGGATTCATCACTTAAAAAGACATGGATTTCATCAAGCTTTATTTTGCAATTGTAACACTTGTAATATATCTAATAATGGCAAAGTTGTCACATAATTGGTCACGATGTAATTATTTTTCAGAGAAGGTGATGTAGATGGACAACTGTAATGAAGTGATGTGTAAGAAGCATTGGTGTGCTACAACTACTTATAATCTAATGTATTCCTTTAAGCTCTAGTTTAATATTATCCTTCTGTTTGTGTTCTGAGACATTTCTGTAACAAAATTCTGTACATATTTTTTTGTTTTTCTACCCAGATGTTAACTCAGTCAGAGTATACCTTAATATGGTTCCTTATTATTGAAACACTGTATTTCCTCACATACTTCACTCCTTGTGGATCTACATTCTTTGCATTTATTTTCATGTCAGATTATTTTAACTGGACTCGGAGAATTTGTGAGGATCCTGAATAGTGAAGACTCACTCAATAAAGTGATGGGCTTCTGACTTCTGAGCCAGACTTAGATTTCCAGTAGAGGAATTGTATTTTTCTCTTTGTTGTCACACAGGGAATGATTGTGTGGCCCACTCAGCCTCTTATGAAATTAATTGAATTGAATTTATTTACATTCTATAAATCCTAAGCAGGTTANATGAAACTGAACTCTGACTTCTGTCCAGTGCCAAGGTTCAGAATGTGTAGGGCTTAACCTCCATTGTCTTCTTTGTACCTGCTTGGCTGAACTTTATGTTAATTCATGACCACAGTGAAGAACTGCATGTGCCCACTTCTCTCCTTTTTTTGGTCTCTTCTTTGTTATAAGACCATTTATTGTCTTCATCCTTTGTGGTTTGTTTTGTAATGCTGTCAGTGGGTAGACTATATAGCACTGGATGGTAGGATGATTGGTGGATTGGAAAATATTTGGGAGGAAGTGGCCATGGCCTAAATGAAATACTATCCTGGCATTTGCCATGTGGAACCAAGGGAAATCACGAAGAACCTTCCTCAGGATGACCAGTGTCCTGGCTTAGATTTGAACTGAGCACCTCTCATATAAAAGTTTCAAGTATCCTCACTACACTAACTTGTTCATATTATCATCATTATTAAATTATAATTATTTATTATAATTCTGTTTTAGAACCACTGGAGACTGGCTGTGATTTTGGTACTGTTTGAAGCATATTCAGAATGGATGACACATAAAGACGTAAAATCATCTGGCAAAAGCCATACATCTCCTTATGATTTGTTTGAAGGGGAACAGAGCTTCTACTTCGAGTGTTTGCAGACTGTTGTAGGTAAGTTAAATATGTGTGAAGTAATGGAGGAAATTGTGTGAGGTGCTACATGGAAGTTTCCAGACTCTTAAAAACAAATGTCTGGTTTCTCTCTTGACGGTACAAAAATATTCACTTCACTGTAATTCTGTGGCACATGAATGCAGTGACTCCACTGTTTCCTCTGTTGCCCTCTTACAATAGACTGACTTGGAACTGAACCTATGTCTTTGCTGTGAGAAGCTAACTCATGTGACTGTGCTATAGAACAATTGAAGTTTGACCAAAATTGGTCGTTTGGTGTGTAGAATATTGAGCTACAATCTGATGAGCGGACAGACAGACATCTGCAGCTTGCTAATTGGGTTTCTTCAGAGATCTAAAAATGGTTACTGAACTGATAGAAATATTGACAGTTGCACTTTTGGAGTAGTCGTGTCTCTTAAACTGTCATTAATTGCTATTGGTGGGGTTAAAAGACTATGACTATAGATAAACAGCACTAATATATTTTCACGTGTAAAGGGGTACACATGACTAATAATTGTGCATTCTATATTTGATGTCACTATCACAGCCACATTCATTTATAACATTTCACATGCAACTCCTGGATACCGAATCTCTCTCTGCTTAGTTCTTGAGAGCATGCAGATTCACTGCCGAGTCACTTATCTTTCTTCCGCATTCTGTTGTATTCTGGTCTGTGTTCTCTCATCTTCTGTTTTATATCTGCTTGGTGTACTGAATAAGGGACACCGAGTCAAATAGTTCATTTCTTTGCTATCACAAAACCGATATCTCCGTTGCTGTGAGAATAAACTTTTACTTAGCCGTTGTCCAACAGCCAACTGTATATGTTGCTTAGGAGACATCTGTTTAGAAGTCATTACTTATGCAGTGGATTCACATGTCACAATATGAATAGAAAGGAATGTCCCAGGGATGGAACAGATTCCTTATAAATGCATGTCATATTCTTATTGTTTTGCAGGGTCATCCATGCTGTTACTGCTCACGTACACTCTGACATGGTTACGATGGTGGGTTCATGCTGAGTGTAGACCACAGAACTACAGAAACATAATTCTGTGGAATGCCCTTGTTTTATCTAACTGTGGTAAATTTCTGATGATCCCCAGCTTAATATGGGGAGAAATTGGTACTGAAACCCATTCTCTTTTTATAATGGGCTACACATTCCTCTCCCAGTTGAAAGTATACTCAGGTGAGGACATTTGTTATTGTAAGCTGGACTGCTAATATGAAAAACGTTTTCTCATGGTCGTAGAAAGTATAGCCTACCATCTATTTTAAGGATAACTTGTTCGCAGATGTGCTGTTGAGTACTATAATTGTAATGTGGGGAAGTGATGAACAGCAAGCAGGACTTTGAACTGAATAGCCTAATTTTGGGAAACCTGAACCTAAAACTAGCCTTTTAAGCAAATTATGTCTGAGCTGTGAATCTGAACCAGTTCAAATCAGTTCTCGTTTTCTCCAGAGTACAACTTTTGATAAATTAATATGTGTATGAAATTGGGTACAATACTAAGTACAATTAATTTAATGTGCTGGTCATAAATGGCAGAAGGTCCAAATTCTTTTGTGGACCAACTTCAGCTTAAGAAGTGGAAAAACACTGTGAAACATAGTGCATTTTTAGCATATGTGTAGAGTGCAATGGATGTGTGTTTATGACAATTGACTTCCCAGGTGGTGAGGTTGGTTTTCTGTCAAGAATGCTTTGTAAGTAAGGTTTTGAAATATAACTGTATTTTGTTGGCCATACTGAATGTAGAATATCACAGTATATCACGATTTGACAAATGGGGCCGTCTACACAACAGAAGTATCTATGGTTGTAAACAAAGACATATCAATACTAATGTATCTCCATTCGTTTGTTGTGCTAGGGTGATCTGTTACATGTTTCGACCTTCAGGAGGTCATCCTCAGGCATACTTAACAAGAATTCAAACTTAGTTCTTGAACTGTATTTAAATATGAATCCATAATTTTACAATTTGTTCTATTTTTAGGCAGCGAATACTACTGTATTGTTGAATATATCTAATAAATGTACACTAAGAATACTCTAATAATATAGTTTTTAATTCTGTTTAAATATTAAGACTTATAACATTTTATATACTTTGTATTTTAATAATACATAGATATTAATGTAGTTTTGTCCTTGAAGAAGATGTAGCATCATCTTTTTCATGAACATAGACAAGGGTTAGGTTTTAAGACCTGTTCCTTTAAAACTTAGGGTGTTCTTGATCTATCCATTTTTCATGGGTCTTCCAGCTTGCTGTCATCCCCAAGGTTGACACTGAAACACTAGTTTGGGAAAGTGGCTTATGTCCATTCTTTCCAGGTGGTCTAACCAGCTCTTTTGATATAATTTTATGCCTTCAGTTAAGTTGTTCACTTTTAACCCATTACGAATGTAAGGTTTCCTCTGGCAGTCCAATCTTATAAGACCTAGTAAGGGTTTCAGGAATCCAATATGTGTAGCTTGATATAGAATAAATACAAATATTTTATGAGCAGTGGTGGTAGTGGCTGACTCTTTGTATAGCATTAGTGTATTCATCATAACTGCACAGTGCAGGAGTTCTGTGTTGGACTGCCGATATTGACTTTTTCTCACTGTTAATGAGTGCAAGAAGTTAAATAATTTGTTTGTCAGTTGTAGCCAAATGACTGTTATTAAAATCAGAACATACAAAATATTCTTGTTACAATATTGTTGTGTTCTTATGCAGTTAATTTTAAATGTTTTGATCTGTGGACGAATTTATGGGTGAAAGGCAAAGGACATTCTTAATAAATTTATGTATGAAAATAAGGTTATACTTGTGCGTATACACTGAGTAGATTGGTTATGGAATTGAAAATCAGCACATTTATCATTTTTTATAGTTGCATGGCTTTAGTACATATGGATTAACTGTTATCCAGTGCAAACCCCCCCCCCAATTTAATATGATACCTTAATATGAAATCTTGACATAAATATAGCTAACATGATTTGAAAATGTGGCACAGTTCAGATATTTGGGAACGGCTATAACAAATAAAACCTGATTGAGGAGGAAATTAAGAGGAGATTGGGTTCATTTGTGCTGTCCAAAAACATACAAATTGGAATTTACAAAACTATAATTTTGCCTGTGGTGCTGTATGGGTGTGAAACTTGGTCTCTGACATTAAGGGAGGAAGGCAGACTGAGGGGTGTTTGAGAACAGGGCGTTGAGGAGAATATTTGGACCGAAGAGGGATGAAGTGAGAGGAGGTTGGAGAAAACTACATAATGAGGAGCTTCATAATTTGTACTCTTCTCCAAGTATAATTAAAATGCTCAAGTCAAGGAGGATGAGATGGGCAAGGCATGTAGCATGAATGAGGGAGAAGAGGAATGCATATAGAATATTGGTAGGAAAGCCAAAAGGAAAGAGACAACTGGGAAGACGAAAACATAGGTGGGTGGATAGTATTGAAATGGATCTTAGAGAGACAGGATGGGGTCATATGGGCTGGATCGATCAGGCTGAGGATATGAACCAGTGGATGGCCCTTTTGAATATGGTAATGAGACTTCAGGTTCTGTAAAATGCTGGGAAATTCTTGAGTAGCTGCACACTTTGTGGGTTCTCAAGAAGTGCTCAGCTCCATGAGTGATCAAGTAAATGTTTCATCGGAATCAAGGCGTCTCTCTCAAATAGATTATGGAGTCCTTAATTTTGAACACTAGTTTTTGTTAAAACACAGGCTTAACATGCAAATTTTCTTCTCTGTGGCCTCTTAAAATTCTTATACCAAAATTATGTTTTAGAGGAAAAACAAAAGCATTAATATAAAACTATTTTGCTCTTCAGAGATAGCAGGATTTTGTACAGTAATTTTGCCTTACATTGCAATGACATGTTCATTTTTTATTGTAGTTTTAACATATTATATTAACATTTATATCAGTATACATAGACATGAGATTGGTTTCTGTTATTTACTACATTTTGTGCACTGGTACGGAAATGGCTGAGACTGGATACAAAACTTTCGGTATCTCCTAAACCTCTGAACCAAAACGTGAGGTTACTCGCTGAGCTGAATATATATTTCACATGGTTCAAAGCTCTGCAACCAGATAGCACATGATTTATACATGATATCAATGGAGAAAGGAGTATTGATAAATATGATGATAAAGATATAAAGGCAATAGGAGTCTTTTTAGAGTTTAGAAGGTCAAGATATTGAATAAATGTCTGCTGGGAAGATCAAGCGAGGGAAGATATACCATACAGAGTGGGGAAAGAGTGGACATAACGTTTGTTATATTCATATTTACTATTTACGATTTTTCTACTGCCTGGTGTTTGTCTTTACAGTTGTTTGTAACACATCAAAAGTTGGAGCTGGATTTATAATATTCTTTGGATTAGTTGCAAAATATTACTTATGTTACATGATCAGTAACATGAAATTGCAATGAAGATTATCAGCAGTTGTGAAATGCTGCTCGCTTCAAGGTGCAGGTATTTTCCTTGAAGTATTACATCACATTGTATTCATGTTTTATGTTCAGTTACTAAACAGATTATTCTATCGATTACAAGGAAGTGAGCTTAAACACAGCTGTCAAGGGACAATGTATTGATTATTCTTTTGTTCAGTGAACAAAGTATTTGGAGGAAAGAGGCAAGTATGTCCCTTGTGTTACATCTATCTCCTTTCCTGTGTTGTGTTCATATGAATGGGTCAGAAATTTCCACCTGTGTCTGTTCTCTCACATTTGCTGTTTTGAAATGTTCTTCCTTCTCTTGTGTCTCTTGTCACGTGGTCTTTCATTCGGTCTGTCCAATGTTGTCTTTGCCTTCCCAGTTCTATTATCTTCATCCATTTTCACATCCCTTATTCTTTTAGGAGTTTTGACATTTTACATTGTTTCTGTAACTGGTGGTGGACAGAGGTACATCCAAGAGGCAGTTCTTTTAATTCAGATATGAAGAATGAAGAAATGACAAAATCACTAAAATGAATGAAAGTTTGTTCTTTATCACTGTATTAAGATTGGCTGTGGGTCCAGCCATCTTCTGGTGGGTGTTGTCATAGTCTTCCATGGGCATTAAGCGGTTTGAGCGTAAAACTGGATTCTTACATGCACGTAGTGCTCATGTTAAGAATGTGTGGAGCTTTACATGTTAGTCTGATTCTTGAGTGTGGGAAAAACATTATTCTTATGTTTACTAAATTCTCTACCGTTTATTATGCCTAGGTACTGCCACCTGTCTTTCTGTAAAATAAAATAAATATACAACAAATTCCTGGTTATCTGATATCCCAGCATCATGCAACTGACACCAATTTAAAAGAAACTAACTACTTTTAGAAAATTTCTTCAAAAACGAAGTTGCAGTTACGCGTATATTTACCCACCACTGAGGAAATTCTACAGGGTTCTGACAGCGGTGTACAATGCTCAGATTTACTAGATTTTTGGACTTTGTCCATCATCTGGCATTTGAAAAACTAGATAACAGAACTTTTTGGAAACTGGATCTGTTTGTGTCCTCAGGTGAGAGGGGAGACACCTTCTCTGATGGGCCCCTTAGCAAGAACTAACTTCAATGCTTCCATAAAAGATGGCAAATCCCCCCCGTTAGAAACATGTCTACTGTCTCAGACAGGGATCATAATTATTGACACGATATTTCCAACCAGTGGCACAACTGGCACAAGCCTCTTAATTGCACCAACTGACAAAACAACCTGCCCCCAATTAAAAATACATTAATTACTTTACATTGCATTTGCTACATAACATGTTTAGATCAGTGTCAATGATTGTGATATGAACAAAACATCATAATTTAATTTGAATTTGATGGGTAGGGGTAGTAAAGTATGCCACCCCAGGTTGCTACTTAGCTTGCTAGCATACTGGCCCTGGCAGGATAGAGAAAAGATTATCTTTGTCCAGCAGTTAGACATATCACACAGTAATTTCCATTATTTTAGGTGTATTTAACATTTTCTGTTGGAATTCTGTAGAACCTCTGAGTAGGGTTTTTCTTGATTTAAAGTACAGTAATTGTTTCCAAGGCTGGTCACGGTAGCCGAGCGGTCTAAGGCATGTACTGTCTTCATTTGCTTGGAAACCGGGATCTTGGGTTCGAATTCCACTCAGGGCATGGATGTTTGTGTGCGTTTTTCTGTGTTTGTCTACAGGTAGAGGCCTTGCGACGAGCTGATCACCCGCCCAAGGAGTCCTACCGAATGTGTAAGATCTAGAAAAACCGAAGTGAACAGAGAAGTTGATGGAGGTAGGCCAAGGCCCCAAGGAAAAAAAATTGTTTCCAAGGCAAACTTTAAATGGGGATTTTACTGTATAGTCCCAGTTTGATAGAGACATGTTCTGACAAAGAAGACAAACTTGAAATTGCGCGTTTGGTATTTGAGCATTCCAGCAGCAGTGAATGAAGGGTTCCTTGTGTTTTGATGTATATTTTTTTATCTGTTCTACATTTCAGAATATACACACAAGTGTTCCTATTTACTTTAGACCCCGGGTTCACAACGTAAATCAACGTCACAGACATCATACTGTGGGGTCACAGATCAGTACAGTTGTGACTGAAAATAATTTAATTTCAAGAAGTGTCAGGAAGATTGAACTGAATGTTGGGAGATTCCATTTGTTGCAGATTTGAGTTGTAATATTTTTATGTTTATTTTAAGAATTTTATGTATATTAACACATATGATGTATTAAATATGATATTAGGATGAGGTAAATGTTGTTGTATTGGAAACTGAAAATTCAAAGGTGCCACTAATCTCCATAGCCTCTTGGTTTAATTCAGTCCACACCACTACACCCTGTTTCCATTTTACTAATATCCTCTTAATTATACTACTCCAAATTTCCTTTTGTAATGTTTAGGCATGATTACTGCTTATGGTTTGTTTTTAGTGGCTAGGGCAAATGAGGAAATTATGTAAACTGAAGCACAAAAATATATTTATGGAGAGCTTAGTAACCTCAAATGTTTCACAGTATGAAATTTCCATAACTAGATAAATTGTACACTGCATTCCTTTTGCCTGAATGTGAATTATGTATATATATATACTTAAATGTAGATAGTTTAGCACTTGGTGGACAATGTAAAGGGAGGCACAGATCATTAATGTGCAGTAGTGATATTTACGTTCCCTATATTGGAGTTTTGAACTATATACATGCAGATTATTTACCAAATAGTCACAAAGATCCTCACTGTTCTGCACCAGTCACAATACAGGTCTTAATAATGACTCTGTTACTTGGAAAAGGAACAGAATATGAGGTCATGTAACTAACGCCGTGGGCTCAGTCGCTGAAAAGGTTAATACTAGCCAACTTAACTTTCTCCTCACCATTTTCAACACAGCAATAAGTATGAAGAGTGCTGTCCTCTGGGTTGTAACATAGTGTACTTCAGAAAGAGTCCGACATATTACTACCATCTTCGTGGTTGCAGGATAGGCCAAGGAAGAAACCAGCAAGCAGAGCTCTGTGTCTGCTTGGCATATGCTGCTTGCTGTTTCACTTAACATTTGAAAAGTATCGATTATCAAAGCAATTTACAAATGAACTGTACCAAGGTTCAGTTATGGTATAAAACAACCGAAAGTAAATGTTGTGCCATGTCACTACATACATCATACCTTGTAATCAGAACTAATTGCGCTTTCATGTTTGGATTATCAAATCGTTCTGATGACTGGATTTAAAATAAAAAAATAGATTTTTAGTACAATAATTTTCAGAAAATTATAGGTAATTTTTATGTTTAAACAGAGACTGGAACCCATAAATATTGGGACTGCATGCCAGGCTCGATGCAAGTGGTGACTGGGTTTTATCTTTCACCACCTCGAAAGGCATGTCATTTTGAATAATGTGTTTCACAAGAATTCATATTTGCTGCAAAGAAGTAAAATAATTAGATCAAATTTGTAATTTTTGGAGGTGCTGTGATTTTTGGGGGTGGTACTGTGAGCCAATTCAGATTAACATGGGTTTAATTAACGATGTTCCACTGTATGGTTGTTATATCCAGCAATTCCCCAGTACATTTTAAATTTTAAACATGTGTATTTATTTTATCTTATTGTGAATATTGTATGTAGAGCATACATAAAGGGGGCACGCGGTATCATAGTGGTTGAGGCACTGTGCTACAAGCCGGAAGGTTGCGGGTTCAGGTCATGATGAGGTCATTGGATTTTTTTCAATTGACCTAATCCTTCCTTCCACACTATGGCCCTGGGGTCGACTCAGCCTCTTAACAGAAATGAGTACCAGGAATTAATTAAATAATTTTCTTGCGGAGTGAAGCGCAGCCGGCGCATAAGGCTGACAACCTTAACGCTATCTTTGAGCCGATTGTCTAGATAATGTGGGACTCTCAACGTCTCACAACCCTATGGGCCTTCACGGCCTGTTGCAGGGATAGCTTTGTTTTTTATTATTTAACTTTGGAGCATATATAAAAACTCATTGGCATTTAATCAAAATTCCAACCTGTTTTATTTCATTTAAAGGGACTTAAAGACTTCTTAAGACGGGTGCAACAATGTGGGTATATACAGAGAAACAACAGACACTGTTCATTGTATATTAGAGTAATATACAATGTTTATCGTGTAATAATTAGACGATAAACACATGGCACACTCATTCACATTCATATGACATCTGTTTATATTTACCCCAAGAACGCATACATTTCAGTGTGTAGTTATTTCTGGTGTTTCAAGAAAATAAATTTTTTCAGGTTTCACCATACAAATTTATTCACCATTTTTAAACTTGAAGTACAGATAATTCTAGTGGTTCAAATTGCGTTTTATGTTTATTTTCCTCAGTGAGGCTAGCTTGATGATTGTGGTGACCATGGAGGTTACTACTGGCTTCTAGGATGTGTAGTTTGTTAGAGAGGAATGAACATTTTGGAGCCACATGGTGCCTCCGTCTTCAGGGTAGATTTAGCCTTGATTTCTTTGTGATGTTGGTATCTGTCTGCAAGATGTGCGACGTTATATTCTAGAAGATAGCAGTCTAAAGACTGGTTAGGTTATCGAACTGTCAATTGAAAAATCAATTGATTTATCATTGGATTTCTTAATGGAACTGTTACAGATGCAGAAGTTTATGTTGCATCAATTTATATTGGCAGATGACCATGAATAGTGAGTAGTTAAGAATTTGGAAAGAATCTTGTCCTGTTTGGAGAGACTGAGGAAACCACAAAACCTCACCCAAGTTCCACTGGAGTATAGAACCACCCAAATAAAGTGCCTGAACTTGATTCTTCAAGAATGTACCTAGAATGCCACAGTTGAAATAATCGATTGAATTAACTAGATTGTTACATGTATAAATGACTATAGATGGGGTTGGTTTGGTAACTCGATTTATTGACCACTTATACACACAACTCGTAACTACAAGTAACTATGACAGCCTCACTGTTTTACACGCTATAAAGATCACTGTACTGGAGCACACATAAAATCTTGTCTTCACTAGTCATGTCCTGGTAACAGATTTAGCACTGTCCTCTGCTTATGTCCCTACTGTCTGGCGAATATCCCACAACTGAACTAAGCTCACAGAATTACTTCACAACTGGCGGTTTACTGTCATTCAGTTGGTCTTGGTGACAAGCCCTTGAGAACTACAGTTAGTATTTTTTATACTGAACACATGCAGTTATAGTCCGTCTGCAACACACTCTCTGTCGATAGGAAGAGTCTTATCTTTTACAGCTGCCGCTGGCCCTCACCATCGCAGTCATTCTTGGGACCGAGTTCCAGTGGACTCATGACCATATTTTACTGTTTTAGATTCGAGACTTCCCAAACATGGAGGGCAAGGCCCCCGTATTTGAATCCCCCAGGAATAGAGTGACCCAATTATACCCTGAGGCACTGGGTTCCTTTTTAGGAGGCTGGAATTGGCTCCAAGGGTCGGATGCTGGGATTATGGGAATAATCCTGCTTTGTTAAGTGCCACAAAATACGCACGATATGATTATGATTAATACCTCAGCATGTTTTTCCTTATTCTTCTATCCTTGAAACAAAATAGATCAGTTCTCTCCTATCTGTCCGTCCGTCAACCCATCCCTCCCTCCCTCTTTCTCTAAGTACCAACTCAGCTACCTACCTACCAACCTACCTACCCACCCACCCATCCATCCACCCGTCCGTCCGTCAGTCCTACATCCACCTACCTACCTACTGTCCATCCATCCATCCATCCATCCATCACCTTTAAATGCCGGTCTTTTGAAATAGTGGTAAGCTTGAGCTGGCCGGAGTTTATTTAAGTGCCTGCTGCTCTTGCGCATTTAAATGTCCATTGCTACTCCGCGTTTAAATGTCTGTTCCTGTTAGGGTGCTTAAACAATTTTAAGCATTGTGTTTAAAAATGCTGTATCTAACACATTTTTATGATAAACGGATGGAATTAACTTCGTTTGTATCAGCAGAGAACATAGTGTCGCATATTATAACGGAAGATTTGAAAACTTTTATACAAAGATTTATACTTTATTTTCAGTTTTTTCTTTTAATTTTGATACATACTGTAAAAATGGTTTCCCTGTTCTTCACAGAGTTGTTCTGCATTATAAATTCATTCCTGCATGTAACACTTACATATTTTATTAAATCCCTGGTCTCATAAAACAGATGGAAGCAATGAAGTCATTTTGTTCTCTGCTGGCAAATTTTACATCTTTGTTGCACTCTTCAGATTTTCGAATATTTTGACTAAAGGACAGAAGAATGAAAGCATGGCTATTCAAGAAAAAGCTAGAGGGAACAATTCGACAGCCCCTTCTTCAGTGCTAAGACCTTCCCGTAGCTGCAATAGATTATGGCCTTTTCTACTCTTTTTTGTTGTTCACTTAGGTATCATTTTAATTCCTCTATTATGGTTTTACTCAAGTCTGTCTGGTAATTACTACATTAAAAAATATTTAGGACTGTGCATAGGTTTCATTTAAACGCCGCTAGCGAAGTTTAAATGCCCAACTGACCAAATCGGGGTACTTTGGCCACGACGACCATACTCATCACTGGCCCGATCGGGGCACTTCGGATGTTAAAGGTCAATGCATTCATCCATCGATCCATCCACCAACCCATCCAGCCACCAATCCACCCACTTAACCACGCGCCTACCTACCTACCTACCTATGTATCTACCCACCCGAAGATATTTCTCGCTCCCACTTGGAGCATGGGGCGCTCATGAAATACTTCCTTTTACTTCAGTTTCTTAAGCTTAGACGGTCGGTAGGACTCCTTGGACGGGGATCAACCCGTCACAAGGCCGCTGCCTACACAGGACAACACAAACGCAGACAAACGTCCATACTTTGAGTGGGATTCGAACCCACGGTCCCAGTGTTCGAACGAGCGAAGACGGTCCATGCCTTAGACCACGCGGCCGGCCAGCGAAATCGGCAGACCTGGGTGTAATCGACGTTTATTCTGAAATTAATATGAAAACAAATGATTTTCATGAAAAAAAAATGCATTTTTAAGTTAAAGCTGATGACAACTGTGATAGAAATGGTCGCTAGTCACGAATGTAATGTTTGACATGAAGTCTTGGGATGCAGTATTTAGGCGGAATATTTTCATTTGTGTCATATACGTACTTATCGTACCATAGTGCCGTCGCAGAACGGTTATTACTGTAAGTGAACTTTATTCAGGCTATCTG